CTCTTCAAAGTAGTTTTATTTTGTCTGCTTTATCATCTTTCTAATCACGTGGTTTATCTCTCTGTATTTATTGTTGTCTTTGGTTTTAAATTGTCTTTTGTTCCATCATATTGAGTATCTCATCATTCATCTATTCTTCTTTTCTCCTTGCGAAAGTCTTTAGTATTTTTTACAGGGCTTCAGTAGACAATGTTTTAGTCGATCACAGTACTCGTCAATATCATTGGCGTTTGTGTTCAATATGCTGCAGTTCACATGCAGTTCATTTTACTTTAGGTTCTTTAAGTTTTCTTGTGTCTATTGTAGTGATTCTTTCATGTCTTTTAATATTTTTAAGGGTGAGTGTAATCTTGGCGATACGAGGATTGTGATCTGAGGCCACGTCTGATCCAGGTTCTTTCACGGACTTACCAACTTTACGGTATCTTTCATTGATCATAATGTAGTCTATCTGGTTCCTGACTACTTTCTCCGATGTATCTGCGGGCGATCGGCATGTATACGGTAAGTATATAAAAAACTTACCGACACGTAAAACGGGACACTGACATTAATGAATTGACTGAAGTAAAAATTGATATCTAATATCTCATGGTTTACTCTCATTAATATATATAATTATTTTTATATGGGCGTATCGTTGGTGTTTTCGAAAAAGGTAAGTAAAGATATGTTATGACTTTAAAAGTTTTTTATGGTGTTATATTTCTTATTATTTAAATCAGATTGAAATATATTTTATTTAGGTTCTGTGTATCTTTTTTGTCATTGATTGCGTTGGTATTTCTTTTTATTTCTATTGATTTGTATCTCCCTCTTCTTTTTGTTTTGTTCGGTTTTTAAAATGTTGATGTTTTCCAAGTCAAATTTATGTTTCTTCTCATTTTCATGTTTTGTAAGCGCAGTGATGTTGTTCTTGTCATATTTGTAAGAACGAGTTCTAGATTGAAGCAGTTGACTGGTTTGCCCGATATAAACACCTTCACAGTTATTATATACTCTCGTAAACAAAACAACATGTGATTTTTTGAGTTTTGGACTGGACAAACTGGCGTGACCTGTAAGGGAGAGCGTCCACCAAACTGGCGTGGCAAGTAGCACGTAGCAAGTAGCACGCATCTAGCATGTTTCTTAATATGTAACCAATGAAAACGAATGATTAGAATGAACGACGTTACTGTCATTTTGGTGTGCGCTGAATCATTCGTTTTCATTGGTTACATTTTAAGAAACATGCTAGACGCGTGCTACTTGCCACTTGCTACGTGCCACGCCACTTTGGTGGGCGCTCTCACTAAGGGAGAGCGCCCACCAAAGTGGCGTGGCAGTGGCAAGTAGCAAGTAGCACGCGTCTAGCATAATGTAACCAATCCTAACGAATGATTAGAATGAATGACGTTACTGTCATTTTGGTGTAAACTGAATCATTCGTTTTCATTGGTTACATTATGCTAGACGCGTGCTACTTGCTACTTGCCACTGCCACGCCACTTTGGTGGGCGCTCTCACTAACATGGCAGTGACATAGCACGGGCATGGCACTGGCGTGGCAGGTAGCACATATAGTAGCATCAAGGAAATACAGAATGCGTCTATATTCTTTGGTAGCATGACATTAACAAGGCTAGTTAAATTTAAAATGTCGTCCTCAGACGAGGATGAAGTTATGCCAATGCTTTTAAACGTCAACAATATAAATAAAACTCGTCCGCAACGTCAGTTTTGGGTATACCCTTATTGAAAAGATATGCAAGGGCATAGTAGTTAATGTATTTAAAAAATTAAAAAATTCCGGACTTATGTTTTTATAGATAGGTACCTGGAAATTTCTCAATTATTGAGACAAAACAAATATTAAATTCTGCACTGTCTTCCATATTTAATTTTTTTACAAACACACATGCAAAATGCAAGTGGCACGTGGCAAAAAGTAGAACAAGCTCTATTTTTAACGACGTGGCGTAGCAAGCTGTATGACGCCACTGTAAAGAGTGAGATAAATACTTAGAAGATAAAAAATATCCTATCTCCTAAGTTGGACCAACAAATACACTTTTACAAAATTTTCAGTGGATATATGGAGATCTTTTATATATTAATTTTTAGTTCATACTATTGTCCACAGACTGTATTAAAAGGTTAATGGCAAATCAGTGTATTTTATCTAATATCTACTTTTTTACTTACCACTACATAATTAATTAAATAGGCAATTTCCATTCCTACAAGTCTGGTATTTGCTGTTGCTTGAGTATATAAAGGCAAACTTCCACCAGCCCAATCTACGACTATCACGTTAACATCTTGGGCTTTAAGTAGTTCATCTCTCATATCTTTTACCTAAAAAAAGAAATTGGGATAAATATAAATGAGAAAATTTAATTTGATGATGAAATCTACGATATCGTAGATGAAATCTACGAAACTGAAAAAATTCCTAAAGAATGGCTCATTTCCGTGTTCTATCCAATACCCAAAAAACTCAACGTAATGTGAAAAATATAGAACGATCAGCTTGATGAACCATGTTTTAAAAGTGTTACATAAGAGTGATACATAAAGGTATCTACAAAAACTAAGCGATATAATAATTTGAAAACTAACTTGATTTAGAAAAGGCTTTAGCACTAGAGAGACATTATTTACATATATACAACTGTGACGTATTCATAATCTCTAGTTGATTTTAATAAAACCTTCGACAAAATACAACACGAAAGGCATGCAAACATATTACAGAACATACAAATCGATGACCAGGATGTGAGGATTATTACCAATTTACACCGATATCAGAAATCGAGTAGAGTCACCGGGTAAATTGAAAAACATCTAAAGAGATAAATATAAAAGAGAGTGCGACAAGGATGTGTATTGTCCCCTTTACTTTTTTATATAAGCTCAAAAGAGATGTTTAAAGAGTCTAGAAGACATAAATAAAAGCATTAAATTAACGAAACACTAGTGAATAATCTCTGATGTGCAAACAGCAAATAATGGATGTAGATTTTGGTTGATCAAACTACGCAGTACTGTGAGAGGTCACAAAGAAAAACAAAAATCATAATTTTCAGAAAAAATAACATTCGGTTTGTTGTAAAAATAAGATTGATGGCTTTCACATCGCGTGCAATTTTTTGCAGCAGTTGCATAAATAGTTATTTCTGCTACCATATATTTAAAAACTGCTAAATAATTCGTATGCACATATTTTTCATTTTAGAATGTTAGTTTAATTGCATTTGTGCACAGGATATTTAAACACGAATTCAAGGTGTCATTCATTTTCTATATTTCCCAATAATTAGGAATTTTGTTTGTGTTTAATATTCTGATGAAGTTAATTAGCATTCGGCATCAACTTATTGCAAGAGTAAAAAAGCATTGTAAACAAGGTTAATGGATTTATCACACGACTTTTTTTATAAAACTATGTAGAAACCAATTATCTACAAAATATTTACATAAAATACTATTTTTTAGGGAAACGATATTCTTTGACAGAATACCAAACAATTTAGATCACGATTAAATACAGAGTCTTTGACTTTTTGATTACTAAATCGTGATAGTCAATAGGTACATTTTTCTTTGTGAAATTGTTTCGGAACGATTTATAAACGATGAGTGAAAAGTTGCCTTCTTCGAAAAACAGTTGTAACCAATGTAATAAAGACAAATAATATCGCGATAAGGACGGTTCTCTTTAACTAAATTAGTACATATTATGATTATTCATTAAGTACTATTTATAATAAATTTTTAATTTTAATTTTAAAGTATAGTCCTTTCAATAAGTATAGCTTCGTGTTGATCTGAGACTGGTGAGTAATAGCTCTCCAGTACTTCACGCAGGACGGATTGGGTGGAGAAGTTCTCATGCTGGACACGTAGAGTCTCAGTGCCTCTAGTGCCACCAGTAACACTATTGTGTTATTTTCGAGTTGACGAAATCGGAGTGTCCGACAACTGTGTGTCTGACAGAATTTTCTCTTAAATATAGTTCAAAAATAAAAATATTAAAAGAAGCCAGTGGAGATTAAAACCAACTCGGTTGCAGACTCTGTGTCCCAAATATGTCCCAATTGACTCAGTCAAAATCCTACTTCAGCACAGTAAAGCAATTTTACATGAGCATGGCATGGGCCAGGGCTCTTGCCTGGCCTGATCAATAAAATATCAATAAAAAGATAACAAAAAGAGTGGAACAACACGGAAGATGTTGCCCAGTTGACCAAGATGCTGATCCCGAATCTAAGGGCCTGGATAGATTGTCTGTTTTAGTGCGTATCTTCATAGGTTAAGAAAGATAGACACAGATAAATGCCGATATTGCGAATATTCCGACACTGTTACTCACACAATGCTGGAGCGTAATAGATGTACAGTGGAGAGAAACAGAATGTCTAGAGAAATAGATATAAACCATGTGTCTGTGAGAGAGATGATCGTGAAGATGACGGGAAGTAAGGAGGGATGGAATAGTGTTCACAATTACATCCGAACAGTAATTAAGAAGAAGAGAAACACCAACCGGACCCACGACAGAGATAAGATCTAAATAAGATAAGGGAGTGTTAGCCCAAAAATATCGTCAGCCTTACAGCCTTTCGGAGTACGGTACGTGCTATCTACTATCTTTACTACTTTAAATTATACTAAAACCCAAATTTTAAGAACTCAAAATGAAGATAGCATAAAAAAAATTGTGCCCCAATGGTGCCCAATTAACCCCTCAGCCAGGAAAATTCTACGTGTGCCACTGATATACAAGTTTATACTTGTTCCTTTTTCACTGTTACGCTTATGGATTTATAATAATTTAAAACAGATAACATATTATTTAGTAAAAGAACAAATAAAGCTTACTGTATGAAGTATCGAATAAGAAAACAGTTTTTACGATTAATTATTTTTTTCTAATTGCTGTTAACGTAAGATTTTAGAAAGCATGTGGAGAAAAGAACTTTTGTTGTAGCACATGTAAAAATTTTTGGCAACTAATAATTCAAAGTTTTAATGAAATAAAAAATCTCTGTACTTACCCAATTCGATAATGGTGTATCTATAAATCCATGAATAATAAATTTAGTTTTTTTCTTAATATCTAAATTAGATCGTTCTATTGACTGATTGTTGGCTCTAATTAACTGACCCTAAAAATTATTTATATAATTTATTCTAGTTATAATTTCGCGGTTTGTGCATCAAAAGAAAATATTATTCAAATATATTTAAAAATATGCTGCATAAAACAAATAAAATTTATTATACAAATACATGTAAATATTCTGAATGAAAAGCAGAGGTTTCAATACATAATAAAAGGGACAAAATAAAAAAGAAAGTTGGTAGAACTATTGTACTAGCTGTAGATCACCCTCTTTGTGAAACATTTTCTAAAAGAATATTGACAAATATTTTTAGACGCAGTACTAGAAAAAAAAAGAGTGTGAATAATATACAGATGACATTGCATTATTACTCTAATCTTAAACAAAGTATTGTAACTTTGACAAGGACTTGCAAAAAATATAATTATAATAGGAAATATTAGTTAAAACACTTCACACATGTGTATCGTGGTATAAAAACAAACAAATATTTAAAACTTTATAAAAGTGTCGTCAACATTTAAATTCTGGCAGAACGTTTTCAGTCTGAACAGATCATCCTCAGTGCCTTGTGTATTTGTTGCTAACAGTAACGCTGTCTATAAGACCTCCATGTATGGATTTACAGTATTCCAAATTTTACATTTAATAATGTTTTGACTCCAGGTCGATGACAATGGATATATTTTTAAAATTACTTTAGGGACTACATGTCTCCCTGCTCGAATATTAGCACGTGGTACTTGTCAGTTGAAACGACACACACCAACTGTTGGTCTGTGTCGTTTCAACTTACAAGTACCACGTGCTAAAATTTTAAAAATTGATTGCTCAAGATTACTCAGAATTGTATAAACGAGAAGAACTTTCAGATCCTGATCAAAATCAAATACCAAAAGTTCAAAATGTAGGCTCAGAAGACATCCCAGATATCACAACAGAGGAAATAAAATCAACTCTCTCGGAGACGAAAAACAATAAATCACCTGGAGAAGATGGGATAATCATTAAACAAATCAAAGAAGGAAGAGAGCCGTTACTAAATGTGTTGAAAAAGATGTTCAATGCTTGTTTGACAAGAGGCGTAACCCCCTCTTAGTGGCATAATGCAATATTAACCTTAATGCACAAAAAAGGTGACATTTTAGACCTAAAGAACTACAGACTGATTAGTTTGCTCTCCCATACAAACAAACTATTAATGAAGATAATAACAAAACGGCTTGTGAACAAACTGGATAGTTAAAAACCTTGTGAACAGGCTGGGTTCCGCTTCAGCTACGGAACAAATGATCATCGACAAGTTATAAAAACGCTAATAGAAAAGTGTACAGAGTATAACAAGCCTATCTTTCTTATATTCGTAGATAATGAAAAGGCGTTCGATACTATAGATCATCATAAAATGCTTCGACCATTGGCTGACTGCCGCATTGACTACCGATATATCGCCTTAATTAAAAGTATTTACGAAATTGGTACAGCTTGTGTCCTCCTTCATGAAGATACCAAGAAGTTTCGTCGAATAGAACGAGGAATTAGACAGGGTGATACTATCTTTCCTAAATTGTTTACAGCTGTTCTTGAATATATGTTCAATCAAATGGAACGAGAGGATAATATAGGAATTAATATAAATGGGGAAGATCTGAACCACCTAAGATTTGCCGATGTCATCGTTTTAATATCTGAAAGACTTGATAAAGCTACAAAAATACTGCACACGCTCTATAAAGTGTCAAAAACAATTGGTCTTAAAATTAATACCTCAAAGACAAAATTTATGACCAACCTTGTAGTACAATGGTAAAATTCTGATTGAGAGCCATAGCATCGACCAAGTAATGGCTTACAAATATCTAGGGCATGAGATTCGCTTAGGCCGAGATAATCAGATAACTGAAATACAAAGAAGGATGTCTCACATGGGCTGCCCTTGGTAGATTGAATAACATTTTCAAATCTAGTATCCCAGTTTGTTTAAAAAGAAAGGTTTTTAACCAGTGCGTTTTACCGGTTCTTACATAATATGGTGCAGAAACACTGACTCTGACAAAAAGAACAATAGATAAAATAAGAGTTACACAACGCGCTATGGAAAGATAAATATTAGGTATTACCATCAGAGATAAAGTACCAAACCTAGAAATAAGAAGAAGAACAGGAGTCACAGATGCAGTTGAAAAAATAGCCATGGCTAAATGGGCTTGACATGTTGCCAGATTAACGGATGATAGATGGACCAGAAAGATTCTGGAATGGCGACCAAGGCAAGATGCATATCGAAGCAGAGGACGACCACCGACTAGATGGACGGATGATATCAAGCGCATCAACACACAGGACGCAAGAAGCACAAAATAGACATAGGTGGAAAATTTTACGGGAGGCCTACGTTCAGCAGTGGACAAATATAGGCTAATTGATGATTGATTGGTGATGAATAAACGTTAACTTTAGCCATGATCTTGGTATTACTCCGTTCAAATATATGTCATTGAATATTTTTGTTAGTCGTTGAGTACCGTCGGTGTTAAATAGCTTTATAAGTTTAGCATATGCATTGACAGGTCCAGGAGCTTTGCCGTCTTTTAGTTGTCGTATTAATTTTTCCACTTTATCTGATGTGATTGACGGAGGAGGTTGTTCGGGGACCTATAATCAACAAAGAGTTCTTGTATGTATTTGGCCCATATATATATTTCTTGATTTTTAAATAGGTAAAAAAGAAATAAAGACTTACTCACAATGTCTTATTTATTTCTTTTTTACCTATTTGAAATGAACTTACACAAGCAACACATTCATGATTTCTTGATTTTTATTTGTAATGATGTTTCCCTGTTGATCTTCCAGTTTGCTAGATGTGTTTGATTTTTGAAGACCAGCTGCTTGTTTTACCGTTTTATGCATATTAAATGTATCGTGTTTTTGTTCCTACAACTTTATCTCTTTATACTGTGTTTTTAACCAATTTTCTATGGCCTTTCGTATTACGGTATTTATTTGTCTCTGAATATTCTTGTACATTATTTTGTTATTCTTTGATTTTCTTCCATAAGTTGCAGTATATTGTCATTTATCCAACTTTTCCTCTTCTCTTTATTTTCCATTAGATGTTCTTATCAGATTTAGTTAAAGTTTTCACATAAGTATATTCTGCAGTGATTATTCTGGATCATATGTTTTCTCCATGATACTTAGCATTTCTGAAAGAATCCGTGCGACTGTCTTCTTTGTTTCCTTATACTTTAGTCTCCTCATATCACATTTTTTGTTACTATTTTTGTGTAACCTTTTTAAATCTAGACCTAAATTTACAAATAACAGGAATATGATCTGATGATATGTCAGCATTAGGGTAACTTTTAACATTTGTGGCCGAATGCAGGTATCAGGTGTAATATAGTTACTATATAACAGAAACATAGAGTAGATATGAATAAAATGATAGAAAATGTATACAAGACTACAAAGTAATTGCTACGATAGAGCATTAAATAGTATAATCAACATGGTAGAAAAAATATAAAAGATTCTCCCAGTTATTTTTTTATTGATTTGATCATGTACAAAATTATAAACTACAAACAAAGAAAAGATAGAATAATAAGAAACAAACTGAAAATTATGTGTGACACTCCCAGTTATTTTTTTATTGATTTGATCATGGACAAAATTATAAACTACAAACAAAGAAAAGATGCAGAATGGTAAGAAACAAACTGAAAATTATTTGTGATACAGATGATGAAATATTTATACCAGAAAATAAAATTGACCTCCAAGGAATGCTTTCCTCCAGCGACAGCAAAATAGAAGAATAGGTAAAGCAACAAATAACTGAAGTAAGAGTATCTGTTCAACAAAAATATCAGAAATAATTTCATATTATTATTTTTATTTACTTACGTCAGACGGATTTAGTCGTGTATATAATATAAATCTAGTATTTATCACAGATCTTGGCAAGGGAAATACATTAAAAGGTCTGTTAATCAGGTGGTACCAGGTTCTGGTGATATTGAGACATCCAAGTTCGTCATAACAACGCGTTTCATTTTCAACTGAAAATAAAAAAAAACTAGTTTAATAAAACAGTTTCACAATAATAATTGCTGAAATACATTAACAGGTACTTTAAGTACGTTAAAAAGATATTAATCATTAACATCATTACGCAAAATTTTAATTTTATCCCTGACATATTCTTCGATTTTATGAGTTAATTGTAATAACTTAGTTTAAATAAATTATGCTATACCTAATAACAATATTAAAGTAAAACTAACTGACAATTAAACAGTTTGATTTCACAAAAATCTTAAAAATACATACAGAATTGTTTAGATCAAAGAAAGGATGTTTTTGTCTGTTTCATCGATTACGAGAATGCATTCGATAATGTAAAACACGAATTAATGATAAAGTACCTACAAGAGTTGGGATTGGATGCCAAGGATATAAGAATTATCGCCAATCTGTATTGGAATTAGACATCAACAGTACGTCTTCAAAATTTCAACGAAACAGAAGATTTCTCCATTAAAAAAGGAGTAAGGCAAGGTTGTATACTGTCTCCAATGTTGTTTAATTTATACTTAGAAAAAGCCTTCGCAGAAGCAGTGGCAGACTCCAATAAGGGTATTAAAGTTAACGGCATATTTATTAATAACATCAGGTATGCCGATGATACAGCCATAGTGGCAGATAACATCGAAGATCTTCAATGCCTTTTAAATGATCTAACTCTTGCAAGTAAAGCTCGGGGTTTGAAAATAAATATCAAGAAGACAAAAACAATGATTATTAGTGGAAATGATGACCCCAATGCAAAGATATATGTCTCTGGAGAAGAAATCGAACAGGTCAGGCAATTCAAATACTTGGTTTATTTGCTGAACGAGAGTTGGGACCCCGAGAATGAAATAAAGAGCAGAGTTGAACAAGCCATTAATGCTTTTTTGAGGCTTCGTAAGTTTCTGACTGATCGCAAATTGGACTTCAACCTCCGATACAAGATGCTTAAGTGTTAGGTGTGGCCTGTTCTCCTATACGGAATGAAAGCATGGATGTTAAAGGCCAGTTCCATTAACAAACTTGAAGTGTTTGAAATTTGGTGCCTGCGTCGAATGATTAGAATATCATGGACGGACAGGGCCAGAAATAAGGAAGTACTCAGAAGAGCGAGCTTACAGGATAAGGAACTTTTTAGTTATGTAAAAAGTAAGAAGACTGAATACTTGGGGCACACAATACGAGAAGAAAGACACACTTTTCAGCAACTGATACTCGAAGGGAAGATAGAGGGTAGGAGAGGTCTGAGACGTAAAAAAATGTCATGACTGCGCAATATTCGACAATGGACAGGAATCCACAGTTATGAAATGCTTCTCAATGCTGCTAAAAACAGAATTATTTAATCCTGAATATTTAACATTTCACCTGACAAGACGATGTACGGTGGACGCCTACGCAGAAATGCACGGCACCTTAAGAAGAAGAATGTACTATGTGAAAAAACCTGAAACAAGTTGATTTTTATTTTTAAATTTACAATTTACAGCATGAAAATATTATACCTCTCCAGCACCCCCTTTGAATTATAAGCACCCCCTCGAAAATTTTAAATAACAAAGGGGGTTGTATAGCACCTTATTAGAAAGGGATTCTATAACTCTGTTTAGCAATGTAAAGTTTTTTGATTACTGCTGAACAAAGAACTAAAATCCCTTTCTAACAAGGTGCCACACGACCCCCATGGTTATTTAAAATTTTCGAGGGGGTGCTTATAATTCAAAGGGGGTGCTGGAGGGGATACTATTTTCATACCGTAAATTGTCAATTTTAGGATAAAAATCGAACTGTTTCAGGTTTTTTCACATAGTACATAATAATGCTAAAAATGAATTTATTCCATACATATGGACCGCATGGTATGTGCGTTACCCTTTAGTTTAAATCTACTGAATGTAATAACTTTAACATTCAAATATTTTACATATTTATAACAGGTGTTCTATGTTAAAAGCATATTATATGATATGAATATGTATCAACAACACAAAGATACATGTGTAACATAAGGAAACTTAAGAGAAACACTCATTTTCAGAACAGTCTTAAATTCATATCTAAAAAAGTATTTCTCTTTCTTTGCCTATATTGCATTAAACTCTCCACTAGACAAGACGGTGTTGGATTTATTTTATTACCTTAAAACAGTAATCAGTGATTTATCACTTTGGCGAATTGCTATTATTTGGTTCTTTCTACAACAGTGGTCACCAGAGGTCGTCATAAATTTTGACTTATCCGTAAAACATGTTTATTGTTTTATCTCTATTTATAAGTAAATATATAGTAAAACATTGTTTACTTTAATAGCAATTTGTCTCGTATATTTACTCTTTAAAACATTGCTGCTCTGACCATTTTTATGGGCACTTTTGTTTTAAGTAATGTAGTTTTTTCGTTTTAATTGAAAAAATGGTTAGATATAAAAGACACTTAGCATAACATAATACATACATAACATTAACAGTATAAGTATATCATCTTCAGTAAAACTCTAAAGAAACACATTATATCACCGAAACTCTACCTAAAGAATTTACCAATAATGAATATGTTGCCTGTCTGTTGATGTGCATTTCACTAAGGGCACTCTCGCTCTCACTAAGGGCAAGCGCCCACCAAAGTGGCGTGGCAAGTAGCACGTAGCAAGTAGCACGCGTCTAGCATGTTTCTTAAAATGTAACCAATGAAAACGAATGATTAGAATGAATGACGTCACTGTCATTTTTGTGTGTGCTGAATCATTCATTTTCATTGGTTACATTTTAAGAAACATGCTAGACGCGTGCTACTTGCCACGTGCCACGCCACGTTGGTGGGCGCTCTCACTTACATCGACGATCAACAGAAGAAATTTAACCTTACTTATATGAGGTACAGTAAAAATATTTGTACTTAAGTAAATATCTTTAGTTGGTAGAACGAAACTCAACGGACTTAAGTGAAAATTATTTCTTAAGATCAAATTTTCACTTAAATCGTGTTGGTAGAACTAGGCGTTAATAATAATCCTTGTAATGATAAGTAAGTAATATTTAGTTAACAATATAACACTGAAAACTTTGTTTTCAAAACTTCCACAAAGTTTATTATAAAATTTTATCACTACAGCTGTTTCGGCTGATTGCTTTTCTTAAGTGATCTATGTGTTGCATGCGTTTACACTTCATAGTCTGTAATAAAATATGTTGAAGAAGGAAAAACTGTTTGTCTCAAGTTGGTCATTCAGAATTATATTTGTGTTTTTTAATTTATTAATTTCCATAGATTCTAACAAAGATAGCTCAAGGCCTTTATTTTGTATGTATAAAATTTTAAATTTGTCATTAAAAAAATGATTATGATCTAGAAGGTGAAGTGCGTATGTAGAATATGTTTTTCTATTATTGAAAGCCCTTTTATGTTCTGCTAATCGTTTATTAAAATTTCTACCAGTTCGACCGATGTAGGTTTTTGGGCAGCCGCCACATTTACGTTTGTATAATACCACTCTGTAAGTGCTTTTCATTTTGGCTCTTGTTATTTTTAATATATTTGCGTACGTTGTTATGTTCTGAAAACTGGTGTTATTCCTTTCTTTTTTATGTGTTTGTCTATTTTTGTTGATATTTTGCCTGTGTATGTAATCAATCAGAAGGTACTGGGTTTTTTCTCTGGTGGTGGAAATTCTAATTTCAGGGCTTTCTTTTGTAGTTTTTGATTTAAAATTAAATTAAGTGTTTGTTTATTGTATCCATTGTTTACTACTATTTGCTTAATGATATTTAATTCTGTCTCAAAGTTGTATTTTGACATAGGAATTTCTGTTAATCTATGTAACATACTATGACAGGTTGCCAGTTTATGTTGTGCGGGATGGGATCACGAATTGTGTATAATCGTGTCAGTATGGGTAGGCTTATGAAGTATGGAGAAGTCATATTTGTTTTTGGGTATGATAATTTTTAAATCTAAAAAATTTATGGATTGATTTTGTTCTGTTTCTATTGTAAATTCAATATGACTATGAAGTGAATTAATATACGATAAAAATTGGTCGAGTTGCCTGTTAGCTCCTGTAAAACATACTAGTACGTCGTCTACGTATCTCCACCAATATAAAAACTGTTTGAATATGGGATGTTTTGAAATCTTTGTCAGTAGATGATCCATAAAAATATCTAATAGCAATGGGCTTAGAGGATTGCCTTAACTTGACTATTATACAGGTCCTCAACACTTCGGCAGATCGGCTACATAAATAAGCTTTTCACCAATATACCATTCTCCTCTTAATGTGCCTATCCGTTACGAATGTTGGCGATCGTCATGGCAATTTTATCTGCAGCAGCGCGGAAAAGCCGCACAGATGTTGTATTGAATCAGATTCTGAGGTTCTTTAACCAAGATGTTTTTCTTCTTCCTGGACCTCGCTTTTCAAATATTTTTCCTTGCAGGATCGCTTGAAAGAGAGCATATCTGGATTCATTTCGCATATGTATGAAGAATTGTAACTTTCGATATTTAATGGTGGTCAGTACCTCTCGGTTCTTATTCATTCTTCTGAGGAATCCCTCATTTGTGACTTCATAGATATGTCATAGACCTTATATATGCCCCTGTAACCCAGGCCTCCTGTATCAAACTTTATTTTAACTTTATCAAACCTTCTCATAGCAACAGTAAGTTCTGCGAAAGTTGTCTCTTACCACCTCAGTAGTCCATTTTTTGTATACTCATTAGCACAGTTTTTCCACAGGTTTCCTCTTCTAAACGATGTTGGAACTGTAGAAGTTGATTCTGACTTCCGATAGCAGCTCATCCACTACTCCTTCTAGTTTGTTGATGATCAGATCGGGATGAGCCTTTCTTCTTCTTGATGTGCCTATCCATTACGAATGTTGGCGATCATCATGATAATCTTTATCTTATCTGCAGCAGGGAAAAACTAAAAATATGTTGTATTGAACCAGGTTCTGTAACCAAGATGTTATTCTTCTTCCTGGACCTC